AAAACCAAAAAAAAAAAAAAAACCCTGTCTTTATGACTCCATTATAACAAGAGAGGGCCGCTGTCTGAAGCACGGCAAACTAAACAGCCAACGGAGGACACCTCATTACAGAATGGCAACAGGGAAAACGAATTCTAAAAAAGAACACCAATAAAAACTGTTGCTAACATTAACTATTTACTACACACCAAATTTATGAATGGCATTTCACACGGACACTGCAGCAACTCTGAAGTGAGCACTTTTACTCCCATGCTGAGCCTACACTTTTCTCAAGGTAACTAAAACTCTTAATTAGGTATAACGAATCTGTAAATGGCCACAGGAGGTTGCAGACCAAGCTGTTTGGAGAACTGCTGACCACTGTGCTGCAGCTTCCTTCCCCTAGGACCCTCACGATCGGCAGCTTTTTAATGTGCTGTGTCCCTGTGTCCCTGTGTCCCTGCCACTCTTCCTCTCGGAACAGCTTTCCTTTCTTCCCTATGCCTGCCTTGTCCTTACTCTTGACTCCAGACATTCTGCCCGTCGCCCACTTCACCACTACAACTACCCTCCTTTTTGGTCTTTCGTCGTCTGTACACGATCAACCATGAGCTAACCACACACATGGAACTGTCCTCAACCAACCTGCTCCCTGGATGAGGAGTCGAGGACAACAGGAACTTACTCTTTAAAAACAACAACAACAAAAGTGGTTTGCATTAATTATGGTGTGTGTGTACACATGTGCAAGTAAGTGTGCATGTGTGTGTTTTAGGTGTGGAGGAGGTAAAGAACAATTTTCACGAGTCAGTTTTCTCCTACCGATGAGTTTCAGGAATCAAACTCAGACTTGGCAGCAATTCCCTTTACCTGCTGAACCAACTTGTCAGCCCAGGAATGTGTTCTTTTATTAAAATGCCATTCCTTTAATTAAGGGATTTTTGTTTTAATATGCACCTACACATCCATTTTCATTTGAACCTATAACTACAGTGAAATGTAGCTGTTATCTCTAAATTCTATAAAGAGACATCTGGCCAAATGATCACACATATGGTCACAACTGTTGTAGACTATTATTTTAACTATGTAAAGAAGTGTTACATTTGTTTATGCCTCAGAATATGACTTGAACTGTGTAAAGCTATGCTACTTTTGTTTATGCTGCATTTGTTTAATGATGGAAAGATGTGCTGCATTGTTTCACCTTGCCTGCCTAAGGCACCTGATTGGCCTAATAAAGAGCTGAATGGCCAATAGCTAGGCAGAGAAAGGATAGGTGGGGCTGGTGGGCAGAGAGAATAAATAGGAAGAGAAACCTAGGCTCAAAAAGAAGAACAAGAGAAGGAGGAGAGGACAAGAGAAATGCGTGGGGCCAGAAGCCAGGCAGACGCCAGCCAGACATAGAGAAGTACTGAAAGGAAGATATACAGAAGTAAGAAAGCTAATAAGCCCCGAGGCAAAAGGTAAAGAGAAACAAGCTAACTTAAAAGCGCTCACCAGAAACATGCCAAGTTAGGCCAAGCATTCAAAACTAAAAAGTCTCTGGGTCCTGACTTGAGAGCTGGTTGGTGACCTAAAAGAAAAAGCCTGGCACAATTAACATTTGAGATACTTTTTCTTAGAAACTTAATACTAATAGTAAACAAGTGTAGAATGTGATCAACCAGGAATCTACTACAAGTAGTTGTCTCAGTGGACTTGTGGATGTCCACGGAATGTCAGGTATGCATGGGGCACTGAAGTATATTACTGCAGGCAGTGATATGAAAGCTCAGGAGAGTTATGTGAAGTTTTCATAATAGAAGCTATGCCTGTACATGAGAAGAAACACTCTAACAACCTGAAAATAATATGTCAAAGAGCCAGTAGACTTTTTTCTTTTTCTTTTCCTTTTTTTTGGGGGGGTGGTGGGTGGTGGTGTGTGTGGGGGGGTGGGGGGGAGAACAGTATTTCTGTCCTGGAACT